CCCCCCCCCCACCCCCAAATCAATTCTGTGTCCTGGTGTAGCAGCCATGTAAAAACAAACAAAAAACAGTGCTCTCCTGGAAGCAGTAAAGAGGGATGTGAAGTTGGGAGGTTAACCACAGAGTATGCTCATAACACTGTATATTTGTGACTTACTCTATGGTCAGTAACAGATGTTTGATGTGTGACAATCATAGATCCTTTCTCTGGTATTCCTGGCCTCAAGCCTCTTACCTCTCAGCCTGTGGTTATAAATCAGACCAGAGTAACAAATGCTCAGATTATTCATTTTAATATTTAGCTTTATGAAATAGAACTAATAAAAGCAGCCTATCATCGTCCATTGATTATATTATTAATAAATAAATTTTAATTAATCCCCCCCAGATAAAATTATAACAATTTCTTATGGCTGTAGTAAAATGTATAACATAAATGACACTTTTTAAAAATTTTTGTTATCTTTATAATACGATCTATTCATATCTGAGTGTTACATTTTGAAAGCTGAATAAGAATTCTGAAGAATTGTGCCCACAATAACAGACTGGGATTTGCCCAAGTGTGTATGTGTTTCAATCTTTGTGCACGTGGCCCTTTGTGGTTGTGGTTTTATACGCAAGAAAAAAAAAAACATTTATTGTTACTCTTGGTTTGCTTCTACTGAAATACAATGACTGGTATATTTCAACCTCGTGGGTATATGGAGAGACCCCCACTGACATCTTACCTTAGAAAGTGAAAATGAGGACAGGGAACTGAAAGAGCTGAGTGATCACGAAAAATCACATCTGTCCCTCCCTAACTGTTAAAAACAGTACTGTGTGAGGTTGTTTGAGAGCAAGAGGAATCGAGCACTGTGCTGGTGGTTCTGCCAAGCGCCTCAGGGAGACTAAAGATCAGAAAGAGGTGCACAGACATTCCTGATTCTGAGTAAACCTCTCACAACCAACCAAATACTAATCAACATAGATTTATGACTCAGACTAAACAAGAGGTTATTAGAGTCATTCTCTTTATAAGTCAAACATACAAATCTCAACATGTTTAGCAGAGCTGTGTTCACACCAGAACTTTTGATTTCTTCCTGAGGACTTCCTTATTTGACCAAAATGTGGAAATTCACAGCTTTCATCAGCAAATGTCAAAGCTAAATTCTATCTTCTATTTTCAAAAATAGGTAATGCTTTCAATTTGGTAACTTACCTTAATAAGTCAAGTTCAATTACAGTGAAATATTATGAAAACTTATATTTCTACTTATTTAAATGTTCATTAAGTAATCTCTTACTCTTTACATAATGCAGTAATGCTGTTTCAACTAATTATTATTTAGTAACTAGTTCTACAGAAATTTTACATTGTCAATTTCTCTCTTCAAAGTGTTGCCTGAATTGTTATTTTTTTAGTTAGCTCAACCTAGAACTAGTTTTATAGTCCATTCAACTAAAATGTTTTAATTTAACATTTTCAAATTAACATTTACAAATATTACTACTGTTCACAATTACATCTTTAAATTGAGGCCGAAGTCAGATAAAAAAATGAACCAGGTGTTGGTTGTTACAGTAACCAGTTGTTACTGTTTAATATTTAAAAGTAGCATAACATTTAACCCTCAGGTTGTGTTCGGGTCAATTTGACCCGGAGAGAATTTTCTTTCTCCCGAAAATGTTACTTAATGTTATCGCATTGGACTATGATTTACTGACTTTGTTTACACAGGGTATAACTACTTCCACTGCAAAAATGGTTACTTATCGTTAAACTTTTAAAAATTTTTTATTAAACCTTGTTACACTTGTGGTGTTCCCGGTCAAAAATGACCGGCCTACAAAAAATAGCCTATAAATATCTTGTTATGCAATATTATCACCTAATATTGGTATCAATCTTTTTGTCACCTTGTTTTCTTTCAATTAGGACTGGTTTTGTGTTTATTTTTGGAACTGATGTATCGTAGGCCTCATTAATATGAGCTTACATACCTTAGTTTCTGAGTGAAAAAATATTATTTGTAGATAATTTTGTCAATATTAAATAATTAAAAAAAAATTTGCACTGTTTATCACACTAGCATGCTCTAATGTTTTGCCAAGAAATTTGTTTTGAAAAGCTTTTATTTTGTACAAAATTTAAAAAACAGCAAAAAAAAAAATCACACTTGTGGTATTCCCGGTCAAAAATTACCGTCTTTCAAAAAATAGCTTATACATTTCTTATTATGCAATATTATCACATACTATTGGTATCAATCTTTTTGTTTGCTTGTTTTCTTTCAATTAGGACTGGTTTTGTGTTTATTTTTGGAACTGATTTATCGTAGGCCTTAAATATTTTTTTGGCAAAGTCTAATATGGCCTTGTTTGCACCTTGTGGTGAACCCTCTGTATTTGCTCTGGTGAAGTCGTCTCTTGATTGTAGACTTTGACAGTGACATGTCTACCTCCTGGAGAGTGTTCTTCTCTTGGCTGGACGTTGTGAAAGGGTTTTTCTTTACCATGGAGAGGATTCTCCGATCATCCACAACTGTTGTCCTCTGTGGATGTCCAGGCCTTTTGAGCTGAGCTCACTAGTGTATTCTTTGTTTCTCAGTATGTACCAAACTGTTGATTTGACAGATTAAACTGTAGAAACCTGCTATCTCTCTGATGGATTTGTTTTGTTTTTGAAGCCTAACAATTGTCTGTTTCACCTGCATGGAGAGCTCCTTTGACCGCATGATGTGGATTCACAGCAACAGCTTCCAAATGCAAATGGCACACTTAGAATCAACTCCAGACCTTTTACCTGCTTAATTGATGTAGAAATAACAAAAGAATAGCCCACATCTGTCCATGAAACAGCTTATGAGTCAACTGTCCAATTACTTATAGTCCCTTGAAAAAGGGGGGAGGTACATATTAAAGAGTTGTAATTCCTTAACCTTTCCTCCAATTGTGATGAGATTTTACATTATATAACTGTAACTTGAATATGTTTTGGTCAACAGCTAAAATAATAAAAATGTATATATATATATATAATTATTATTATTTTTTTTTAATATTACTTTTCAATTAATGCAGTATTTCATGTTAAAATAGAGTCAATGCCTTTAAAATCCACTTTTTTGAAGCCAAATTAGTAATCTTAATCTGGTGGGAGTAAAATAAGAAAAACTGCCATTCTATGGTTTAGCCACTAGATTCCTATATAGCTCTATATAAAAGTCCTATAAATACTCTAATTGTTTCTAGACATAAATACTTATTTTTATTAAGTTGA